AGCCCCTGCTCTAAAGTTCTAGCTCATTCGATAAGCGTAGTCACTGATGGTGGACTTCAAGATTTAGGTTGGCTGTATGGTCCTTGAAGATAAAGGTAGATTTTGAACTCCATTAAGGACTTTGTAGGAAGTTTATAAAAAACAAAAGACCTCATAGGCATTTAGCAGCCTGGGTTCATGAGAGATGCTGCAGAATGAGTTGCCAGATAGTGGTTTTTAAGCCCAAAGCCTCTGTGCTCAGATGTGAAGCAATGAAGAGAGATTTCAGGTCCTTGGGGAAACTGATTAAGGGGTCCGAAGCATAAATTGTGTTCATGGATGAAGAAGAATACAGGTGAACTCAACAGATGAACTTGTGGCTCCAAGACTGGTGCTACCATCAGGGCTTTGGATTTTTCAACCATGGGTTAGTGTACAGGACGCCAGACCTTTCGGCATTAGTTGGGATGCACCTGTCCCAGATGGGGAAGAGTATCTTGGGGCAGGAGTTAGCTGGGCTCATTGACAGAGCTTTAAACTATATTTGAAAGGGGAAGGGAGCAAAACACCAGTCCATCTGAAATGCATGTATACCAATGCACACAGCATGGGTAACAAACAGGAGGATCTTGAAGCCATGATGAAACAAGAAAATTATGATATAGTAGCTATAACAGAAACGTGGTGGGATGTCTCCCATGACTGGAGTGTGCCAACTGATGGCTACAAGCTCTTTAGGATGTATAGACAAGGAAGGAGAGGCGGTGGGGTGGTGCTGTACGTTAGGGAATGTTACGATTGCTTCCAGCACAAGTGTAGTGAAGACCGGGTGGAGTGTCTTTGCGTTAAAATCAGGGGGAAGGCCAACAGGGCAGATGTTGTAGTAGGAGTCTACTACTACTGGCCACCCAACCAGGACAGAGAGGTGGATGAAATATTCTGTAGGTATTTAGGAGAAATCTCACGACTGCTTGCCCTTGTTCTTGTGGGAGACTTTAACTTCCCAGGCATCTACTGGAAATACAACACAGCAGAGTGGGACCAGTCCCAGAGATTCCTGGAATGTGTGGGAGATAACTTCCTGACACAGCTGGTGAGTGAACCGACCAGAGAAGGTGCCCTGCTGGATCTCCTCTTTGTGAACAGAGAAGGACTGGTGGATGATGTGGTAGTTGGAGGCCGACTAGGGCACAGCGATCATGAAATAATAGAGCTCTCTATTCTGAGAGAGACAAGGAGAGGGGGCAGCAGAACTGCCATCCTGGACTTCCAAAGGGATGACTTTGACTTGTTTGGGCAGCTGCTTGACAGAATCCCCTGGGAGACAGTCCTGAAGGGTAATAGGGGTCCAGGAAGGCTGGGCACTCTTTAAGAAGAAAGTGTTAATGGCACAGGAGCTGACTGTCCCCAGGTGCTGTAAGAGAAGCTGGCGACAGAGACCACCCTGGGTGAACAGGGAGCTTTGGCTGCAACTCGGAGAAAAGGAGAGTTTACAGCCTTTGGAAGAAAGGACTAGCCACTTACAGTGATTACAAAGAGTCTGTGAGGCTATGCCCAGTGGAAATCAGGAGGTCTAAAGCCCAGCTGGAAATTAATCTGGCTTCAACAATCAAGGACAACAAGAAATGTTTCAATAAGTATGTGAGCAGCAAAAGACCAGGGAGAGCCTCCATCCCCTGCTAGATGCAGGAGGAAACATGGTAACAAGTGATGAGGAAAAGGCTGAGGTGCTCAATGCCTTCTTTGCCTCAGTCTTTAACAGCAAGACTAGTTGTACTGAGGGAATCCAGCCTCCTCAGCCAGAAGACAGAGACTGGGAGAACAACCCTCCGCAATCCAGGAGGAGACAGTCAGTGACCTGCTGCATCACACAGACACACACAGGTCTGTGGGACCAGATGAGATACACCCGAGGGTGCTGAAGGAGCTGGCTGGGGTGCTCACCAAGCTGCTTTCCATCATTTACCAGCAGTCCTGGCTGACCGAGGAGGTCCCAACAGATTGGAAATTGGCCAGTGTGATGCCTATCTATAAGAAGGGTCAGAGGGATGATCCAGGAAATTACAGGCCTGTCAGCTTGGCTTCGGTGACTGGGAAGCTGATGGAGCAGCTCATCCTGAGTGCCATCACACAACACATGTGGGACAACCAGGGGATCAGGCCCAGTCAGCATGGGTTTATGAAAGGCAGATCCTGCCTGACAAACCAGATCTCCTTCTATGACAGAGTGACCTGCTTATTGGATGAGGGAAAGGCTGTGGACATTGTTTACCTTGACTTCAGTAAGGCCTTTGGCACCATTTCCCACAGCATTCTCCTGGTGAAACTGGCTGCTTGTGGCTTGGATGGGCACACGCTTTGCTGGGTAAAAAACTGTCTGGATGGCCGGGCCCAAAGAGTTGTGGTGAACAGAGTTAAATCCAGTTGGCGGCTGGTCACGAGTGGTGACCCCCAGGGCTCGGTTTTGGGGCCACTCCTGTTTAAGATCTTTATTGATGATCTAGACGAGGGGATCGAGTGCACCCTCAGTCAATTTGCAGCTGACCCCAAGTTGGGTGGGAGTGTTGATCTGCTCGAGGGTAGGGAGGCTCTGCAGAGAGACCTGGACAGGCTGGAGCCATGGGCTGAGCCCAACTGGGGGAGTTTCCATAAGGCCAAATGCCGGGGGCTGCCCTTGGGCCACAACAACCCCCAGCAGCGCTACAGGCTTGGGGAGGAGTGGCTGGAGAGCTGCCAGTCAGAGAGGGACCTGGGGGTGTGGATTGGCAGCTGGCTGAACAGGAGCCAGCAGTGTGCCCAGGTGGCCAAGAAGGCCAATGGCATCCTGGCTTGTGTCAGCAATAGCGTGGCCAGCAGGGACAGGGAAGGGATCTGACGCCTGGACTCGGCCCTGGTGAGGCCGCCCCTCGATTCCTGTGTTCAGTTTTGGGCCCCTCACTACAAAAAGGACATTGAATGACTCGAGCGTGTCCAGAGAAGGGCAACGGAGCTGGTGCAGGGTCTGGAGCACAGGTCGTACGGGGAGCGGCTGAGGGAACTGGGGGGGTTTAGTCTGGAGAAGAGGAGGCTGAGGGGAGACCTCATCGCCCTCTACAGCTCCCTGACAGGAGGGTGCAGAGAGCTGGGGATGAGTCTCTTTAACCAAATAACAAGCAATAGGACAAGAGGTAATGTCCTCAAGTTGCACCAGGGAAGGTTTAGACTGGATATTAGGAAGCATTTCTTTCCAGAAGGGGTTGTTAGGTGTTGGAATGGGCTGCCCAGGGAGGTGGTGGAGTCCCCATCCCTGGAGGTGTTCAAGAGTCGGATTGACTTAGCGCTGAGGGATCTGGTGTAGTTGGGAACTGTTAATGTTAGGTTAATGTTTGGACTCGATGATCTTCAAGGTCTTTTCCAACCTAGAGGATTCTGTGATTCTTTGATGCTGAGTATGCAAACCTGAGGGCTGTTATTTCTGAGTTAAGGTTAATAGTTGCATTTGTTAGTAAATTCTTTTTACTTTGTGAAGCTTGGCGTGGAGGACAAATCCAAGAGTATGTCTGAGCACCACACTGCTCCTAGCTAGCAGAAAATGCTGGTTTCATTGTTTTTCCACTGAGGAAATGCCACTTTTACTACTGAACCATTTGACATGCTTGCCTACTCAGTGATGTCATGTGCCTTGCTTGAGAATATTTTACCAGATACATAGATTGGTTTGATATGTCTGTCAGTTGATTTTACTCAGAGACATTTTGAAGGTAGTGGTGTGACTATATGGCAGGACAGGTGGGACTGTGTACTGCCTGAATGTTAATGTTACTTGGAAACCAGCTGGAAAATTTGTCAGACTACGTTCCGTTAATAGTAAAGAAGCAAGGTTTTCTGATGATACCAATAAAATGTGAATTAGGCATACCATATTTTTTTTAGTGAAAATAATTTTTTGTTAGATCTGATTATCTTTCAATGAAGAAAATGTTATCTAAACTGCCTTCTTGAGTTACACTCTTGAAACTGTTCACAGGTTGTCAGCTTTCTTCACTAACAGACCCATATAGGTTTTTATACTGAATCAATACATTTTCTGTATGTTCAGCGAAGACTTTGAAAAGGTAGAAATGTAGGTCCTCTTCATCTCCCTTTTTTATGGCAACTATTTTGACTTACATATATTGTGATCTGTATTCGTTTTTCTGAGTGGGTATAACAGATGTGATAAGATGTTTAAAACATACAGTTCTTTCCCAGACTGTGTTCTGCCCTAAACACCACTCTGGGCAGAAAGAAATCCAAGTAAATAATGGAGTCGAGTATTTTAAATTTTATGTGTTATCGTATAGTTTTCTGTATTTTTTTAATAGGATACTTTGGAAAATTTAAAAAACTTTCTCTGTTTGCCAGAAATTTTTTGTTTTCACTGAGAAACTCTTCTCTGATTTTTGAATGCAATCTCATCCATTGCAACCAGAGGTATGGACAAAAATTAATTAATTTACACCTCCTCTGCTGGCCTTACAGCTGTGCAGAATAGATCTATCCCATACCTTCAAAATGCCTGTACTTGCAACTGGTTTGTGGAAAAGGGGTCTTTGGGGAACTAGGGAGAATGCTTTATCAGCAAGATCCAGATCTGAGCGGTGAGTAGTGGCATTTCTGATAAAACCTCTCAGTAACGTTGGGAGCTTTTAGAAAGGAAACAACAATGATATTTTTTGATAACACTGAGTACATTCAGTTTCAGTAGATGTGCAATCTGTTAGTATGATATAGGAGAGCTGTACATTTGCCATCAGTAGTATATGCTCTGTAAAAAAATGGTTTCCTTTTTTGCCTGGGCTGCCTGAAAATAATCTTTGTAATACAATGCAGAAAAACATCTGAAATGATCAAGTTGTTCACAAATAATTGAAATAATCCAAGTTTGTTTGAAAGTAAGGTGCAAAGCCTGTTATGCCTGGGAACATTGTCTTGATAGCGATCACTTAAGAACTATTACGTATTCTTTTGTTGTTTTGTTGTTTTTTTGTTTTTTTTTTAAGCTGGACCTGTGATCTGCAGAATGCTAACATACCCTCCAACTCGAAGAGCCTTAATTGTGGGTTGTGGTCTGCAGATGTTTCAACAACTGTCAGGGATTAACACCGTCATGTATGTATTTACTGCTTGCTTCTCTTTATAAAGTGTAAGAAAAAGACAATTAGACCAGTAGCAGACCTGGTTTGAAATCCAGATATTGACATATTTCTTGTCTCAGAAAATTGGTACAAGAGTATGTTAGTGTAAGGGCAAATGTTTATATAGAGATGAGAATGCAAACTGTACTCTGGGAGATGTGTTATTATGTTAGGGTTTATGGTCAAAGCTGTGTATGTCTAGACAAGAAAGTACACTCATGGTTTGAATTTGTGTGCAAATAGATCAAAGTACGGTGAGGGTTAGACTGTTGACCATGTAAATGGGATGGAAAATTACTGTGAAATGCTAAAGGAGGTAAGATGCTGAGGGAAGAAGCATTTCCTGTTATTACATGATTCTGTTAAATGTATGAAGACTCAGTAAATGTAGAAGTGAAAAACAATATATTGGATTTTCTGATAAGATGTCAGCTCACAAGAGGAGTAGCTCTTGATAAATGTGCAGTGCGCAAGATCTAGTTTAAGATGAAATTACTGTTGAGCTACTCTACGAGAGTAACCATACAATACAATTTCCATATTGTTTTAAGAGCAAGTGTAAAATATATTGCAGCAACATCTTACAGAGAGAACTACACCTAAGGGAGCAAGCTGGTTAAGAAATTGTTAAAAGGAAGAGCTAAAAGGAAAAATGCTTTTAGTGGTATCAAGAGCTACCATATAAATTTTAGAGTAAATATCTGCCATCTATCACAAGGGGGAAAAACGCAAACTCAGTATTGTTAAACTGCAATGGAGGGTAATCTGTAACAGGTAGAGAGAGACTTTATGAAGTAGAAATTGTAACCAAATATGGGAAGCATTTGGATGCAAAACTGTTAAGTTATGTGTGAAAACCAGAAGACAGGCACAGAAAGAGCTTTTGGAAATTCTTCAGGCACATCAGAAGCAAGACACCTAATAGTCTTCAGGCCCAGTAGGGATCAAGATGTTATGAGAACACCAGCAGAAGATAAATCTTTAGCAGCAAATCTTACAAGACTCCTCCTGCATTGGTGTTAATGTTAGAGAGTATGTGAAGCTTCCTGCACTGGAGCTTACTTAAGATGTCTCAGATGGTCTGTTTCAAATTCAATTCAATTCAGGGGAAGAACTCTTAGAATAGACTGATTAAAATTAATAATAACAGATTGCCTAGACTAATCAGGGTACACCCAACAGGTCTGGGGTAATTTGAATACATAATCACTGAATTTGGAAATCGAGCATAATGTGCATGAAGCTACAACCCAGAAAGTTCTATTTCTGTCCATATCAAAATTAATTAAAACTGTCATATAATCAGGTGAGAAGATGTGTGGTTATAAATATGAAAAATGAACATGTACATGGAGAATATAAAATAATAAAGAAGAGCCAACATGACTGTTGTAGACAGATTATAACTTGCAAATTGGTTGGATGTGAGTTCATGGGCATGTTAGAACTCTATATCCTGTATGAACTAACTGTCCTAGTACATGACTTCTGCTGACAAAATTTCTTGGAGAAACTAGATGGTCAGAAGAGAGAAGCCCTCTCAGGTTAATAAGTTTTTAAGATAGGAAAAAAAAAAAAAGATAAGAATAAAAGATCAGTTATCACAAGCCAAGAGTACACTCTTACAGGGATCTTTGTGGAGATCTTTGCTGCTTTAATAAGTCTGTGAAAGGGGTTAACCAGCAAAATAATAACTTGCACTCATACACCATTCATGGTCAAGTTCACAGATTTGGGAATCAATACAAAATCTGTGAATATGAACAGTTGTGGGAAGATAATACAAGATAACAAAGTAATAAAATGGCAAGTTCATTAACTATGCGATATTATACGGTATGGCTAACTAACGGGCATGGCAGTCTGAATTGTTACTACTCAAAAATGACATCTTCAAGTTGTGTTATAGATCTATACAAACATCATGATGACATCCACGACTGATCTGGACTAATACAAACAATTGCAGTTGTCCTTCCTTTTAGTAAGTACAAACCAGGTTATATATGGGGAAAGAGATACCTTGAACAGGATGGTTAAGCAGCTTGAAAAGGAAATGAGCTCAGAAGCAATGCAAGAGGCTTATAAAGCCGCTAATGTTATGGAGGAGATGGAAGGAGCATGATTATTCATAATTTCTTATAACAGAGTTTTGATGACTCCTTGCTCTTACACAGCAGTAGATTTAAAATAAGCATTTTTTTCATGCAACACATAATTACATAGTGGAACTTATTGCCACAGGATGTTACAGATGCCAAATGTAGAAGTAAGCTTAGAAGTTAATGAGGGAAACTTACATAATAAACATCATTAAAATGTTATTAAACATGATGTTGGTGCAACCTCTGGCCAAAGACAGTCATTCTCAGTTTTTGGTTCTTACTACTTCAGGATACGCTATTAGGCTAAAACAAAAAATGAATGGTTCACAAGGTTTATGACACTGGTGGGTTGACTTTGTTTATTTTAACCTTCATATGTTTTAAAATCTCAAACTCCTTTCTATGTAGGAGGCTTTACAAATAATTTGGAATTGACCTAATTTGCTTGTGGATGTGTAGGAGGACAGAATTACAACTAGAAAACAGAGTTGAATCTTAGCTTTAAAATAAGAAAATGCCTATAATAAACACATGAAGGCACTGTTGTTAAAGGACTGGCTTGTAAACCGTTTGCAATATCCAGGTTGGTTTTTTTTATAATCCAGTATAACTAAATTTTTAGTTATCAGGTATGCAAGACAAACATTCTCCTACGAGAGGACATTTTTCAAATATAATTAAGCAGCTGTCTATTGATGGTTTGCTTACACTGAAATTGATGATTTCTTTGTAATCCAGTAATTAAATGGTACCTCAAGGAACTGTCAGATTGTATTAACTCTCTAAGCACTGTTTTCTTCTCCATAATGTTTAGTTGTGTCATTCTGGGAATGGACATTAGTTATGGTTGGAGTTTGTAGGATTGAACTTTCCTTCAGTGGTTTTGTGCAAACTCATTTACCAAAAACAGTCATAAAAAAAGTGGTTTGATGGTTGGTGTTAAGTGTAACTTCGGTGCTGCTGTGAATACTCTTTTCTTGGTATACCCTGTTCTAGGTTGTAGTAGAAGAGGCTGATGACCCCGACTTGCTGTTGCTTGGCTTTCCCTGGCAGAGAATTTAGCTCCTGGTTCCCCATTTCTCCTTATGTATTTCTGTGGGACTCTTCTACACTGTGACCAGTGTAACTTAAGATGGCAGCATCCACTCGTTCTGATCTTCTGGTTTGAGGCTTTCCACTATCTCTGATGTGAAAGAATTTGTTAAATATTGTATTTTGCTGTAAGAAAGTGAGGCCATAGGAGTGAGTTTGTGTATGTCTGAAAAAGTCATTTAAAAAAACCACCAACATAATAAATCACAAAGCAGGAAAGTGAACTGAAAATATACGGAAGAAAACAGTTGTAGAGTGATTTAATACTTCCCCAATTTGTATATATTTTACTGAGTTTTTAAGAAACTCAGTTTAAGAAAACAGAAGTTTGAATCAAAAAATATGGGTGTTAGAAGAATATAAAGGAATTTTGCAGGGGTCTAAAAATAATCACTGAGTGTACCCACTAGTAGAAGAGATCCTAAAAAGCAGAAAAATACATACAAGAAACACATGGAGACAACAGCAAAAATCTAGAGCTTCCAAGCTTAAGAGCTCAGAAAGCCTATTCAGTATTCAGCATATTCAGTATCAGAGCAACGAAGTACACGTGGTGTTGGATTTCTCTTGAGGTTGGGGAGAGGAAAGCTGGAAGAACTTTTGTAAGTATTGTTGTGGTGTGTGCTTTATCTATCTCATCATGTAATAAACTGATCTAGTTTTAGCACAGAAATAGTTTCATATTGTGTTTGAATCAGCTGTGTGTATGCATAACATCCATCCGTTAGGAGCCAGAAACTCATCACAAACAGGATGTTATTGAACTGGTGAGAACGGCATGTGGAGCAACCTCTGCTCTGAGGAGGTGGATCCAAAAGAGAAGCAAAATGTAAAAATAGGATAAAGAGATTGTGACTCTTACAGTAACAAGTTTTAGAATGATAAATTTAGTTAGTAAAAGAATAAAGCTTGGTGACCTATTGCTTGGATTCTTTTTTTCCCAAGAACAAGGGTACCACTGCTGTGTGACAGAGTGCCTGAATTAGAAAAAAAATGTTTCCTTTTTGTCATGGCTTTTGCCAGCTTAACTGACCTGTAAAAGATAAAGTCATACAATTTTAGACAAGTGTGTCTCACACTGTGTGAACAGGTCTGAAATGGTTTAACTTTTGTGTTTCTTATCACTCTGGTATTTTCTCACCTTGAAAATAGAAGATCACTCTTTCAAGCCTGGAGACACAAATCTGGCTGACAGGAGACAAAGGCCCTGTGAAGGAAGTTATATTCCAGGAGAGCAGTTACTACAAATTGGCTTTTTAATATTAACATATCCCAGAATTTTGCTAAAACAGTGGTGTGCAGATATTTTCAAGCCCACAGGGAACTTGGGGGAGGACAAGCATTTTAAGGTAAAATTTAAAGCTAATTTTTCTCACCAGTCTCTTAAAAAATTAAAGAAAGTACTAAAAAAAAGGAATAAATTCCTTTTTTGAGGAATGGCAGGAAGAGGGGGCTTGAAGGATTTGACTATTTCAGATTCTTTGATGAAAATCTTCAATAAGAGTACATGGGTGTTTTAGCTGTATGCTCACATTCCTGCAGGACTAGCACTTCTGAAAACATTTCTTGTACTGTGCAGCTTCATTGCAATAAATAAAAAACCCAAAACACAGGGAAGAAGACTTTTGGAAAAATTCCTAAATTATCTTGAATACTAAGCAGTAGTTTAGCCTTGGAGGGGGTTCAGTATTGTCTTGTCAGAACTGCACGTAGGTAGTGTGGCTTGTGCTAGAGTTTCTGCTGCTCTTTTGGGGGCTTGCTAGTTTTGAGTGAGCTG